TTGTAATAATAAGTGTAAATATTTTATCTGTCATGTGCTATTGTTGGATTTATATATGTTATTTTATTTTTTTGGAATATTGCTTGGTATAATAATCTTCCACTTGTCACATTGGTGTGTAGAAGGGGTGGCACCAGGATTTGCCCGACGGGGTCCAAAGTCCCCAACGGGGGACCCTGGTCCCCGGTCCCCCGCTGGGACCACCCCTGGCTTGTAGTAATTTTCATTTGTACGTTTGATGTGCTCTGTGTACATCATCAATATGAACACTATCTTTTGTATATATAAAAAGCTTTTTTTTTTCATTTATTCGCCATTAATTTGGAGGTGGACTTGTAAATGACATTGTAACACAGCCAAAGAATTTGCTGTTGGTTTTCAGTATGTAATACTGTAACTGTGGACTGGCAGATATTTTCATGCCGTAGTTAAGCACTCTCTCTGTGTAATTGTACATAGTGTTTTATATGTTGCTCAGTATTGTTGTAAATAACATTGGTATTAAGTATTGACAAGTGTAGATGCATTTTTCATCAATAGATTCATATAATAAAATAAAGTATGTACTTGTAGTTAAGAGAACTGACATAGAAGTGTTTATTAGTGGGATAAAATGTAAAGTATATCATAGATTTGAGAACATATTTCGGCATTAATAGGTTTGCTTAATGTGGCTTATTTTTGTATCTGTTATTAAGCAAATTAAATCAATAATTACAAGAATTGGTAATCTAACTTATTAAATATCTATTATTGAATTATAAACAAAAGATAATTTTTAAAATAATTGATAGTAAATAAATAAGAATAATACTTTATTCACACCTACAAAATATAAACACCAGAATTTGTCAAAATGACCCAAGTACAGATAACACAAAAGCTGTGCTGTAGTTTTAATTCGACTGTTCATTAAATTAAAATTTTATCAAGTGAATAAAATTTATATATAAAATGTTTTCCAACTGTTTCACCTGAAATATATTATATTTAACTTCCAGTTCAGCCTTTTTAATTATTAGATTTGAAATCGCACTTTTCAAAGTGCATGATAATGTGAAGGATAATAAAAATGTTTTAACATTTCAACACTAACATAAAAAACTGCACTGGAATTTAAACATTTGATATTCTATATAAAATTAGAAAATGTTTTAAATTAAATTAGATATTATTTTTTCCCCTTTTCAATTTTTGCCTCTTTGAAACAATGCTTTTACAGTAGGTCAGTATGTGATCAATGGAATAAGTTATGCATTTTTAACATACATATGCAATCTTTAATCTTTTTAAGTAGATTGTTATATGGTGTTTTTTAAATTATTTTATGCTTCCTACGTTCCTAGGGTTAATGCCAGTACTTGTTTTATGTATGGGTTACAATGTGGGTAAAGTTAAATTAGTTTCTTTTTTTCTTTAATGATCATTTTGGTCTCAAATACTTCCAAGAAAGCTATTACTGTATTTACACAAGAGCAATTTTGTAAATCATCAAGTTTTTTGTAAGTTCATCCAGCACTAACAATGTTCTGAATTGCTTTCCCGTTTTTAAGTGGTCGTTTTTTAATGCAACTGCCAGTGTATTGATCTCTCGGTGAATGAATGTGTGTCTGCTTCTGTTTTTTTTTCTCTTTTTAATTCAATTTCAGCAGGGGCACTAATTGTGTGGAATAATGTTGAGAGTAAAGTATGATATAACATATTTTAAAACAGGAAACAACTTTGTGTCTTTTTTTTGTGTGCTCCATATTTAGCTGTAGTTCATTGCAATTTTTGTTTCATTCTCATTAAATATTAGATTTTACATTTACTGGGTGGAAAATTTATGATGGAATGCTTTATGAACTAAATCACACAATGCTTAACTGGGAAAGTGCAGTTATGATAAAAAAAAAAAAAAATAATTTTACCCATTATTTTTATTTTATTCTCCATCAATCTTTATTTTAACAATTACATGCTAAAATGTCTCAAAAAATCTTAAAAGGGGCCAAAATTGCCAAATTGTTCTAGGCGTTAAGAAGATTAGACCCCTGAGCTACACCACCATTAGACCGCTGGACTCGTTTGGAAATTCTTTCAAGGACCTGGAAAACACTGAAATCAGTTTCCATAACCCTTACATTCATGGCAATAATCCCTGTTCTCTGGTAACTTCATTTGGAAAATAATATATACAGTATTATAGCATTGATGAGGTTTGCAATATGTAATTTATCCCATCTAAACCCTGATTGTGTCGTCAGGAATAGGTCATTGCACAGGTTCTTATCAAAAATGGTTATAAAACCATGTAAGCACTTTTTCAGGCCTTAAATTGGGTTACTCGGTGAATTCTTAATTAGCATCTATTTTTCAGATTTTATCTGTCTCCAAAAAATAGGGGCTACTCCTTGCTGTACTGTATTTCATATTTGCTAGGACATGATTTACAAAAGAAAATAACAAAATATGAATTTCAAAGATTATATTTCAATCCACTATTGAACATTAATCTCGTTGCCTTTATTTTATCATGGTTTCCAAAATGGACTATGGAAACTGCACCAATGGCTTAAACCACTAATTTTCACAATTACAGTAGATAATTTCATATGCAAATTAAACTGAATGAGATCAGAAATATAGTAGATCAAATAAATCCCTCAATGCCTGCTAAAATATAAATACTCTGTGATTGGCTGCTATAAGAAATATGTCAATTAACTGACAATTTTACAAGATATTATTCAAGTAACCTGCTGTGACAGATTTAATGAATTGTCCTACATTTTATCATGTCATGATCACATTATCATACAAAAAGAAAATTAGGGTTTTGTGGTAAATTCAGGCATTTTGATATTGACATATGGTCCTATTGCAAATTCAGTTACTTTTTTTAGTGGGTTTAAATTCTTCCAAGCTATTTCTTAATTTGTGACTTCTTTGGTCAATCGCCCTTCTGTCTTAAAATTAAGCATCCAAGTTCTCCATCCTGTTACTGGTTGAGACAAAGCACACAACTCTGCTATGATCGGTTGTATCTATTTCCCCAACCTCGCTTATGATCTGAAAGAGAAAATAAATACAGTTGTAGGTTGAAAGTAATGATGGAATGGAATAGAAAATAATAACTTATAGCACATTACATTTCTGTACACTGTTTCACATCATCACTGAGGTTAAGGATTGTGGTGTCGAATATTTGCATATGGCATCTTGGTACATTAAAAATGTCTGTTTTGGTACCAAGGAGTATACGCAACTTAAACAATTTGTTAATTAGATCAGGTGTCAGGTATCCTCTGCCATTAAGCGTCGATAGGCTGACAACAGTGCAGCAGCATGGTCTACTGCACTAGACTTGCTAAATCTACCTTCAATAAAAACCAAAGTACTGTACTATTACTACAAAGTACAAAATCTACTGTATTTTAGCAGAGGACCCATGTTGAAAAAAGCCACTTTCGAAAATATATAATTTGATTTTGCTGTGAATGGTGATACCATTTTTCAAGAAGAGAAGTTGATTAGCAATGCAGTTCTACTGTTAACAAGATATTGTTATGCAAGATTTTTTATTAGTTAAAAAAAACAATGACGTTCATTAAATCAGACAGCTTTTGCTATCATGGCTTCCAGAATTGCGTCATAGCCTGTGGAAACTTGCGTAATAACTTGAATAGAAACCCTAGCCATCATTTTCGATGGGTTTCTTTTCAAGGTGAGCATTTTTCATGGTTACTTTTGCAAAATAAAAAGGGATGGGGGGATTCTTTGTTTTTCAAAATACATATAAATTATAAAATCAAGCTTCTGATATAATTTAATACCATAAAATAAATAATAGGCATGAATACTTTATTAAGCATTTGTAACTTATATTAATTTTGTTAACAATTAGTACTCTTCTAATAAATTTCATAGCCGGAGTTAGCTTCAACCTAGCCCAGCTAAAAGATACACTTTCTCAGATTGAATGCATGCACAAAATCCTGTTGACCAAACCCTGTACCATTTTGATTATAATTGTGCAGGAATTATTTTAATATTGACACTGACACTATCAGAAGTCAGTCGGAGTGTAAATACTATCTTGAAAAGAAGAATGTACTATCTTAATTAGAAGCCCATGGGCTGCTTTTTGAGGTTTTACAGAGGAATTTCACCAGTAGAAGCACTTAGCAGTGCTTTGTTAATAAAATTGTGAATATGCCAGAAATGTAAAGATGCATAACTACCATCTTTCCAATCATCTAGCTCTCTGGCTTTCTTAATTGCTTCTGGGTCATCTTCATCATCTTCAGCTTCTTGTGGTTTGTCATCTTGTTGGCCATGTTCCACTACAACAGATGATGGGTGCCTACAACAAATGGACAATGAGTTCACAATACTGTATTATTACAAATCCCCTTACCTCAAATCTTGCCACATGGATTGTTAGCCCTCCAATGCTCAAGAAATAATAATAATAATAATGTTATGTTGAATGAATGAAAAAGGAGGCATGTGAGTAGCAAATTATTTTGGACAATGTGGGTAACTGGAGTACAGATGATTGCCAAGTTGGGTACCCAGAACATAAGGAAGCAGTGCTCTAATAATATGTCACTAATTGTGACATGCTGGAAATGCAGACCCTTTTGGCAAAAACAATTTTTATATTGTAAATGCAAAAAAATGATAATAGATTTGGCTGTTGTTGCTTTGTAAATTATTAATCATTAGATACATGTAACTGAAGCATAGTCAGGTACTGATAATCATGCTAATGTTTGAGTTGACTATAACCAAACAAAATCTCGGGTCAGCTTTTTTCGCGTAAATATATATTTTTAACCAAATAGGAGCCGAAAATGATCATGATAATAATAGTTAATGATGAAATCAATCATTCAATGTCACCATGAAATATCTCACAGAGCTTCTTGTGGTATTTTTCCTTCTCTAATTTCTTTCTCAAAGAATTCTTCTAATGAAACTGTTGGTAAGCTTGGATAGCCAGCTCCGAACACCTTGGCTTGAACAGCATCTCTTGTTATTATGAAAGGTTTCATTGGCTGAAAAACAAGGTGATATTTACCTTTAAAACAATGTTTTCCACAATTGGGATCATTAGGAACACATTCAAAGCATGTGGGTAAGCAACATAAAAATACTATATAGCTTGAACAGGACCTCTTGACATTTAAAAGGTTGCATTGGCTAAAAAAAAAGATAATAGTTTATTTTTGAACTTTACTATATTTGAAACAAATTTTACAGAATTGGGATAGCACCAAATACTTTAGTTCGAACAGCATCTCTTGACATTTAAAAAACCAGATAACAATAGTTTATTTTAAACTGTGTTTAACCAGGTAAACAGATTTTACAGAATTTGGATTGTCAATCATCTACTTGACATTTGAAAGGTTTGTCTAAAAAAAATCTCCCTCGATAATAATAGATTATATTAAACTTTAATATTTTTTTTTTGGTATTTTACCAAATACTTTAGCTTGACCAGCATCTCTTGACATTTAAAATGTTTCATTGGCTAAGAAACAAAAACAGATAATAGTTTATTTTAAACTTTAATATGTTTAACCAGATATAATAATTAATTTTTCTTTTTCAATTTTTTTCTCTTGGAAACAATGCTTTTACAGTAGAAGTCAGTATGTAGTCAATGGAATAAGTTATGCATTTTTACATACATATGCAATCTTCAAACATTTTTTAAGTAGATTATTATATGGTGTTTTTTTATTATTATTATTTTATGCTAGTACTTGTATCAATTGTTTATGTATGCAGCCCATGAATTTCATGTCGGCAATCGGCAATTGTCGACCATATTGCCAAGCCAAAATTGCCACAGGAGGCCTAGATTTCTTTGCTTCAAAAACTGCTTGGAATGTCAAAACTTTGACTGAAACAGGCTATAGCAGAAACTAAATTTCACATATGTCATCAAATCATTTTATCCATCCAAATGCCATACAATTAATATGACAAGAAGTAAAAACCACTACATTTTGAATACAGAATGTTAGGAGAAAATCTGACTATCGTCAAGAGTAGTCGATACCTAGGAATTACACTTATCAATGATTTATCATGGGAACTACACATAAACCAAGTTATAAATGATTCAAATAAAATTCTTGGATTCCTCAGAAGAAATTTCTCATGATGTGACTCACAAATTAAAGCAGCAGCATACAAATCACTCATTCATCCAAAGCTTGAATACGCATGCTCAGTTTGCGACCCAAATCAAGTTTGTTTGATAAACAAATTGGAAATGATGCAAAAAAGAGCTGCAAGATTCACAGTATCTGATTACAACAGAATGTCAAGTGTCAGCGCATTACTACAATCACTGTGGCCAACTCTAAAACAACACCGAGAAAAAAACAAGGTTATCGTTATTTCAATTAGCCATCAAAAATGATATTGCTATAAATATTCCAACATATGTCAATAAACCATCCAGGAAACAAAGAATTGTGAATTCACATAAATATACACCAATTCAATGACACAAACTTATAAACATAGCTTCTTGCCCAAAACAATAAATGATTGGAATAACCTTCCATCTGAGGTCAGACAGGCTAATGAAAAAATCAACTTTCAAATCATCTCTAGATAGGTATTGCCAAAATTAAACCAAATAAATAAATTAAAAAAAAAAAACTTCCTCAACTAATTGAAATAAAATTGAACACACGTAGCACAAAGCAGCAAAACACGTTGGACGAAAGTGCTGAAGTTACCAGCGATGTCCAATTAATGATTCCGAGATCAAGAAAACTGGTTGTTCGTAAAACAGATTTAATAGGCATGTGCGCGTACGATGTGTGTACAATCATCTTTCTTTCTCGCCTAGCTAGGCCTTGTCGTTTGTAGGTTAGGTAGGAGTGACGCTAGCCAGCCAAGGCTTAAAACATCGCCCAATTGAAGCCATGTGGGCTGCGTAGATTGTAATGCTTATCTATACTGTATCTATTATTTGTCGTCATTGTACAGTATTATTATATTTAAATGTTGTTTATTATCAAAAAACAACCAAATTAAACATATTGTAGGCCTATTCCTACTGTTCGTTCAGTACTGTCAAATACATGTGTACCAACTTGATGTGTACATGTGGAAAAATCCCAAATACAGTAGATCGTTCTGGGCATGCACATGGACATGCATAAGCACTTTTGTTTTGAAGCACAGACAGCCTGTGATTTTATTTGATTTGGTATTTCCCATGCTAAAGAACGCTAAAACAACATTTCTTCCGAGATTTACTTATGCATAACATATGTATTATACTACACTATTAAAATAATACAAGTACAACCATTCTTTCAATAACTATATATTGATTTAATAGAGATACATGTATTAACAAAATCACGATCTGTAGATGATGATGTAAAGTCGAGCGTTCAGAAAAATCGTAGTTTATACTAAAGCCTAGGTAGTAAAAAGTTGCCGACCTAATTTTTTCCAAATTCTGGTCATAATCTAGCAATTGTCGTCTGCTCTCATATACAGTATTTCCATTATGCACACATACGGAATTTTGTAAATCATTGTTATTATGGCTATTGGTCATAGATGAGTAACTAGGGGACCTCTGGCAGCCACAGTTAAGCACCACTCCTGTTAGTACCGTAAATTGGGCAGTAAACACATACAAAAACATTCTGCCTGTTTTCCAAAAAGTGTACATTTTTAACTTGCTCTTGATTACCTTGCATGTTTTGGCTGGTCTATCTGGCTCTGCGGCTGCCATATGTCCAGTTGACTGGACTTTTGCCATATGTTGTAAGATTTGTTTCTCTTGTGCAATGCTCTTCAATTCTTCTATTGCTTTATCAACCCAACTTTCCAACATTAGTTTGTAGTATTCCCTCTGAAAGGTAATAATGTATTCACATAAAAACTATCCATGACCACCAGGTACTCTTGATTTATTTTTAAGTCTTCTTTTTTGTTGATCGTTATTATGTCATTGACCTTAAATAGCAATTAAAGGACAAAATCAATTTGTAAACAAAATTAACATAACACCTTAGGGGTGGTTTACAATAATAGACATCTTCACAAGTGTACAAACAGTACGCTAGTGGGTAGACAAATTTATACACTTTTACATATGCATAAAAATGTTGAATTAAAATAACATGCAGTGCAATACAGTACTTATAATAGATTTTTATGACCAATTATAATGCAATAATTAATATAATACACTTTCATGTAACCAAGCACAGTATTTTTGTTGACTTCACAAAAAATGAAAAATGGTTTTGCAAAATCAACATTCTTTATGTACACTTTCATGGGCGAGTGAGGGGTACCGAAAAATAGTACAGTTTTTACACTTGTGAAAATGCTGATAATTGTAAACGACCCCTTAATTCAAAGTAGATTGGCATCATACTACAGCATGACAATGTGGCTACACTACGTGTCATTTAAAGGCTTTTTATTTTCTGGACACAGCTGGGGCAGCAGTTGTGTTTCGGTCTCGCAACCACGAGGTCGGAGGTTCAAACCTTCACTGTGAATTTCGCTTGTGTCCTTGGGCAAAACACTTTACCTACGTTTTTCTCTCTCCGCCCAAGAGTATAAATGGGTACCTGGTAGGATGATGTGGCATTAAATGTAATCGTCTGTATCAGGATTAAATTGCAAGCACTAATAGGAATAGTCCCCATGGGAGTGGAGGAGGTTGCACTTTGTGCTGGCTTACTAATTATGGATCCAATGACCAGGGGTAAAATAACATCCCATTTTCTGTGTCCCTACCTGGACTTCATCGTCTCTGTCACGGATTTGAAGCCATGTTCCCATTTCTTTCATCTTTCGTTCCCTTTCCTTCTTTTCTTTGAATTTCTTAATTTTTGCTTCTCTGTCTGCTTGCATTGCTTTCATGTCTGGCCTCCCTGGTCCAGACACTGTAGGTGATGTTACCCCTGTATCAGCACTTTCTGTTGTGGGAATTTCCTATAATTCATAAAATTACAATAAATAATAACAATAGCATTAATGCTAATGATAGTACCAATTCCAGGCATCTGGAGGTACATATTCCTAAAATTTCCTCAAACCATGATGAAGCTGAAGTGGGTGTGGACCCCTGTCGGGGATCTTGGTACTCTAATTAGTCACCTTGGATCCCCATCAGGAGCCTTGGACCCCTCACCAGGGAATCACTTGCGCTGCCACTGGGAAACATGTACATTATTATATATTACAAAAATGTGATTGAGTTAATGTGATGGTTTTGTGGGATTTGTTAGTTTGATATGTGACATATTCTACAGTCTCATGCTTCTCTCAGCACAGCTAATCCGTATTATCTGAGGTTACAACGAGTTAAGAGGCATAACCTACTGTCAATTACCTACTTGCATTCACACCACTGTTCATATCGTTATTGTCATCATACAATTTCTGTTTGAATCTCTATCGATATTAATCTGCATTATTTATTGAAATATTTTTAAAAGATATAATATACTGTATCATATATCATCTCATCGTCCTAATAATTAACACTCTTATCATCCTCATTATCGTTCATCAATACACATCACCATTGTTATCATTGCTGCCACCATCTTTGTTGTTGTTACTATCATCATCATTATCACAGATATCATCATAGTCATCATCACCATCAAAATAATCCACTATGCTGTCATCAGTCTCATCACCACCACCATAATCATCATCATTATCAGCTAATATAAAAAACTACATTAAGTACAGTACTACCAACAATCATCATAGGACTAGCATTGTAATCACGCAAAATCAATAATATAAACACATTTTAAGCAACAACATCATCAACAACAATAATAATAATCATAATAATAGTACTGTCACTTTTATATATGTTTTGCACTAAGTGCAAAGAAATTCTTAATGCGAGGCACCTGGTTTGTGATAGTGTAATCTTTACATCTCTTGAGATAGTCTATGAAGTAGGCTTGTCCAGTTTCAAGTACTTCTAGCCTATCATCACTCATCAGTTTCATGGAAACATCACCTAGAAGGCTTGGTAACAGCAGGTACCTAGAATATTAAAATCATGAGTCATGTTACAATTTTGTACTGAAGACAAATTTCTATTTGGGGTGTATTATATTATAATATATTTATATATTTATAGTATATTTATCACTAATTGTATTGTATTACTGTATATATTGTATATTATATTTATTATATATCATGTTATATTTATAATTATGTAATTTTTATTATCATCAGAATCACTTTAAATGTGATTTTCACCATGATTATCATCATAACCATTGTCAGTATTAAAATAAAAATATCTTAATCTTCATTATTACATCCTAGATATTAATCATCACTTATTATATCCTAGTCATTAATTATAATCATTATCATTACAATCATTATCATTATCGTCATCACCATCAACATCATAATATAAATTGTAACTAATAAATCATGCATTTCTATTGCTTCTTGTCCGAAACGATAGTTTCATGATTTCTTTTTAAAAGTTACCTCATCAAAGAAGTTATATTTCCTGAGTATCAATCAAATGTAACTATTGACCAATCAGAATTAAATAGTCAAGACATAACACATTCTGACTGGTCAGTAGTTACATTTGATTTACTACTGACCAATCAGAATGCGTTATTAAATAACCAGCAATACTCAAGGTTACATACAATTTTAGTTTGACCTTCAATAAACTCTCAGGGGCAGGGCTTACAGGTAGCAGAAAGGTCCATTTATGTTCTCACAAGAAATGGAATCAAGAATTTTGCAACAGTGTCAACTTTCAATATTTGTGTATCTGTTTTTTTACAAATATATTCTTGTGTCATTTTAGCATTCTGGAAATTGAGCTGTTTGTTATAGTATTAGGTTCACTTGTTCATTCCTGTGCATTCACTGGGTTGATTATTACATGTGGTTTGTACTGTTTTTCATTTTATTTTTATTTATAGCAGTCTTGCCTTTGTCATCAAGAGTAAAACCATGTAGAAATATTTCTTGTGTGGTTTTCTTACCGTAGATCTGTGGTAGCAATTTCATCTATTTGTTCATTACTACTGAATAAGGCTAAGTCATTCACCATGTGAGTTGCTTGTTCCAACAGAGATATGGCTTCAGACACTAGTTCCTGTAATGAGTCACAAAAATAGATAATACATTAATATGAATTATCATAGCTTTCATAGGCCTTGAAATTGCCCACGCATTTCAATATGGAACAATGCGCAAATTTTTTTCAGAAAATTAAGCATTGAAAATCTGTGCAGATTGGAACCTATTTATTCTAAATGCATGGATATTTCAAGGACAAAACCAATGTAATTTTTACAGGCTATATTAAATAAGCCTTTAAAGTCCATAAATTCTTGGGCTTCTGGAATTCTGTTCTGGGGTAGAATTTGGGCTGGCACATTTACGTACACTCTGTTGGGGACATCACCCCATATCCTCTCCCCTCCACCATGGGAAAATTTCCGGCACCACCAGTTATTTTTATTTTGGCCGTGGCTATGCTTATGCCGAAGTGATCGAAATCCCAATGCGCTGGTTGATCGACTTGGCTTTACCTTTACCTTAAAAATAACTCTCGCTATCTAATGCACTAGTAGGAGGCCTACATCTTGGCATAAGCATAGCCTAGGCTAGCCATAGCAATGAGCATAGGGGGGCTTAGGTCTAAATAGGCTAGGCGGCCTAGGCCTAGCTAGGCTAGCCACTTTCTTATATTTTTTATAATCATTTTACATACTCAGTGCCATAATAATCCCTGTTGACAGTCTAGTCATTGTGTTTATTTTTTGGCTAGGTCTAGCCTATATCTATACAGTACATGAAACTAGATTTGGTTAGGCCGGGCTAGCTAGCTACAGCTTCCATTTAGCAGGATTCACCCGGATTGAATCGTTTCGCAACCTACTTGCTAAACCACTTACGCTAACGAAAGGCCTATTGAGGCCTAACCAAACGAGTGGCCGAATTAAAGCAAATACTTAACCTGATAAGGAACGGAATTTGTTGGATCTTCACTTTCGTTTATAAGTTCATGTTTTTTCAATGCACTGTCAAAAATCTTTGTAAGAGATGGTAGTTTATCAGTGGATGATAATTGTTTTGATTCAGCAACTGAAGCCATCCCTTTCCCTTTTTACGAAATACACAACACAAAACATGATAGTTATAGCGCCCCCAAAAATACACAAGCGCTTGGCGCACAATGCTTGCCTTACTCATCCTTACTCATGGCCTCATTCAGTCAAATTGGTATTCTCCTGGGCCGTGCAGCGTGCATTTAAATTTTACATTAGGCCTGTATCAAATACATTTATGATATATTTTTGACACCAATATAAGTTAATTTCAAGAACATCTAACATTAACAAGTATATCTCAAATTGACATTTGACACAAATAATTCTTCAATGCTTTATGGTTAAGACAGAGTATGTGATAGTTCCATGAGATATATAGGCCTAAGTTGTTCCTTCGTTGCATGAACTAGGGGTAATTAATTATAGCCTCTCTGTTTTAGAAATACTTTGTTGGGTATTTAATTAAGTTTCGATCATACTTTTATCAATCATTTAAAGAAAGATAGAAATTATTGTTTGATCCCACAAAGATACCCCTCTCAAGCCCTTAATGTCTGAAGGTGAATGCCCAAAATGCATATAAGGCGTATCTTAATAATATTATTATTAGATTGACTATATACTGTAATTTATAGAGCCATATTATTATCAACATTTTTAAAAAATTACCGCGCATCATTAATGAGCATTGGCAGATGCCAGGAATTTATAGACATAGCCTGGTTGGGCGGAGCAAAGAGAGCCAATAATTCAGGGGGAAAAGGCCCAAGAAACCAGGGGCGGCATCAGGAACTCCCCGACGAAGAATCCAAACAAGGGGGTCCACTATATAAATTTTGAAAGGAATCTGCGAGTGTGAAAACATTAACCAACGAGGCCATTGAGGCTTTTTTCGGGAGTTCAAATCCGTTTAAAGCAGCTACATCTTCACACTCATGCACATGCGTAGTTGGACAGCACTAGTCCTTGATGCATTACTGTAATAAAGATCGATATAATACGCCCTCTTCCTTTTATGGTAGACCAGAGCAGATATAAATAAAAAGGGAGGTTCAACAGTAGCTTTGATAACAACTTAGTGACGTACCACACACATGGTGTGACACACTTCAGATAAAATTGCCTGATAGGGCGTCGAACCAGCTAAATCTGGAGGTACGGCTAGAAATAAATAGTAACTTATGATATAAATCAAGATAACCATTAATACTTATAAATTATATATAAATCATCAAAGAAAGGTAGAGTGTTCAAATAAAAGAGATGACTGTATATTGTGTAGTATAGCTCTCAACGAATGTTGTCCTATAAATACATTGTGTGATAAAATGATTCAAACGGAATTCGAACCTGAGACCTCTCGTTGTCAAAGCGAGAATAACCATTAGACCACAGAGGTTTCATGGTAGAAGATTCAAATAACTATCAGGTACATTGTACAGATCTCCCTCCAATTAAAGACCACTTTTGGGACCAGGGTTTTGTGGTCTTCAGCAGCTTTGGTCTGTAATTGGAATCCATCTAATTTAAAACCGGCAGTAAAAGTCGTCTAAATTTCACTATTCAAGGGGAAATTAAGAAATTATATAGTAAACGTCAGATCGTTTTTAATATTCCAAGTGCTTTAGAATGGATTTGTAGTTACTGTATGCTGTTATTGATTGATAATAAACCATTTCTGGGTATTCACACATCAAGTCCTGCGCTTCTTCTGATACCCAAATCTCAATTACAATATTACATACTAACAGCATCGTCCTACTACTAAAACTATCGTCTATTCAATAGAGCATTGCATACACAAAAGATCATCTTATGTTGTGTATTATTTTGATGTGTATATTCATATAATCATCATTTGACTGCGTAAAAGTCACTATATTGTATTATGTAATGTATTCTTGAGTTGAAGAGAATTTTTAAAGTTTAGTTGGGTCTGCCACAACCATATGGTATATTTAACTTTAAATGTCCTACTAACACAATCGGTATTCAATATGAAGCATGTATACACATCTTCACTAATCAGTATTTATACGTTAAAATTAGTCTTTATTTAAAGGGGAAAATTTTCAGTTTTCTGCTAAAATTATCCATGGGTGTCAAAGTGGCAGTAGAAACAGGGCCCACGAAAAAGAACCGTTGTTTTTGCCGTCTCAAAGAACGATTCTTTGGCACGGAATCAATACCGTGCCGAGAAAGCCAAAAACCGTTCTTCGTAGGGTAATTTTTAGCTGCAACATAATTTGACCTACGTTCTAATTAGTCAGTAGGCTAGGCCTATGTATAGTACTAGTAAAATTGTTGAAAACGACGGAAATGAGAATACATTTTTATCAGACTCTTATGTCAATAATAATTTAGGCCTCTTACATGATTTTGATATTTAAGTTCTTCAGTAATGATCAGAAATGTCAGTGTTCCACCAGTCCAGTGATAGGCTTAACGATATTATAGGAGGAATTAGTAAATGTTAAACTTCTATTCTCAACACAACAAAATATTCTCTTCTGTTAAGTTAGAACAAAAGTTCAACCTTAGTTTTATTTGAAAACCGATATGAGCTTTTATTTGAATAGGAGAAATCATCACTGTTTGTTTGTCGGGTGAAAATAATTCTGTTAAAGCTTTTACTATTAAAGTCATTTCTGTGAATATAATAAATTGCATTGTGTGTAATTTCCACGTCTTATTCAGCTTGTTATCAAAATAGGCAACCGTTTTATGTGGAGCCAAAATGCAGTTGCGATGCTGTTCTTATCTTGTTAATTCGATAATCAATGAAACCCTTTCTATCTTGATTTTTAGTTAAGAAATTATAGATTAAATGATTTAGAATGGATGTGCAGTTACTGCATGCTGTTATGTATTTTTAATAAATGGATTTCTTTGAAATCAATTCCTGTACTTTTTTAATCGACTTTCCATTATAATATTGCTAGCATTATCGTTACTAAATATACACAGAACACACACGAAACACCATCTTATGATGTGCATTGGCTAATACTTTTTAATATGTTATGTCCTATAACAAAATTTATTATAGAAAAAAAGCAATTAACATAACTATTTATTTTATAGTGGTCTTTAATTTTCATTTGGATCCACCAAAACCACAGTCTTTGATCTCTAAATAGAGTCTTTAATTGGAGTATAGAGCAAGAAACAGATTGGAGGGAACAGCTAATGTTAAAAGATAGTAAGCAAACGTGACCCTCAGAATTGTGGTCTATTGGAGGTGGTCATGATGAAGTACAATACTATCTGTCTCTTATACACATCTAGATGTGTATAAGAGACAGCGTATGCGCCATTGATTCCGTTGATTTTAATAATCATGTGCAGTTGAATCTACACTGGAGTATATTAAAGTGTATTTTCATGTAGCTGGTTCATTTCTTTAAACCTTCTGTAACGATTTATTACGACAACTGTAAAGTTTACTTGAATAGCAATGACAAATTACCAAGCGGTTTAAAATGGACACATTTGTGCTAACAATTATACAGAACGTCTTTAGCCAGCCTAGTTCATTCTCGGAGTCTATATAATATTTGCTATGATTATGATAGGCCTAGATAGATGAAACCATTTTCGTTCCATATAATCCCAAAATAAATGAATGAGTGCATGTGTTGAAACATTTGATATCTGCCTTTGCTTGATAAAATTGAAGGTTTCATCAAATTTGCAGACTATATTCCCAAATTGATGGAAACCATTAAATTGAAATTTGACAATTGACTGAAAATATCGTATCTTTATTTCGTTTCTTTCTATAATAAATTGCTTTCGATCTACTGTCATCTATATAAACTGGTGAATTTTATCTGGATATGGGGCTTGGGTATACAGGGCTTGAGTATGCTTGTCTATTTTATTGTGATGCCCATATTTTAACAGGAATGGAACCCAGCATCCTGGGATTTGGAAGGCAACCAACCAAGCTATTTAACTCCAAGATCGCTGCATTAATAAATACAATATCAAAAAGGGTTTTACCCTTATAGGTTATGTTTATATTATTCCATATTATTTCATTACTTGGATTGATTACATGAATGTTGGCGATACATTACTTTGATTTAAACCATGTTTTTATTAAATTAGCATAAAAGGTCGGCATATTGTTTATTTGCTTGCAGCAATCTTTATTAAGATCGATCAGCGAGACATACATTTTAAGTAAATTTAGTCCTAAACCGGTTTTGTTTAAATAGTATACATTGCAATGTTTTTCCAAACTGCAGCTTCATCATTAGTCAAGTTTTTAATTCACGATAATTTAACAGAGTCAAGAAATGATGGGAGCTGGGAGATTTTCAGTCTACCGAGTTCGTAGTCAGCAATTGTTACCCCCATCTTTAACCCCTTTGGAGTTGTTTCAGAAACACTTTTCACTTTTAAAAATATAGTATTTAAATTTAAGAAAATCATTTGGGAGCTCAGTCGTTGATGCGATATACGTTAGTTTAGATTAAGTAAAAGCAGTGGCGTATCTATGGGGTGCGCGGGAGGGGGGAAGGGTGCACGCCCATAGTCGCCCCCCCCCCCCGCAAAAAAAAATCACGGTAAAAGTAGTTTAAAATAACCTAAAATCACCTTATTTTGCGAATTAGCACCCCTCAACTGATCATTGAGCCCCCCCCACT